AGAATAAAAAAGAAGCTGAAATGAAAGAACTTGTAATAACAGCAGAAACAGTGGAGAAAAGTTCAAGGAAGATCAAGAATTGATCAGCCCCAAGTGAAGATGAACTGCATGGTTTTTGATTGAAACATCTGACTGGTCTGCACCCACTCATTGCCAAGCAGTTTAACAACATACTGCAAGGAGGTGAAATTGGCAAAACCTGCCTGATAATGAAAGATCCAACAAGAGGGGCAGCACCAGGCAACTATAAGCCAATTACCTGCTTACCAACAACTTTCAAATTGCCAACTGGTGTGGTAGCTGATGCAGTCCAACAGCATCTAGTTGAAAACAAGCTCTTTCCATCTGAGCAGAAAGGAAACCGCCCAAACAGCAGAGAAACAAAAGATCCTCTGACAAGATGATTTTAGAAAACTGCAAGAGAAGGAAGACCAACTTGAATGTAGCTTTGATTGATCACAAGAAGGCATTTGACTCCATGCCATATGATTGGATAATCAAGTGCCTAGAAATAACAGGAGTCAGTAGAAACATCAGAAGCTTTGTGCAAAGATCAATGGCACAATGGAAGACACAGTTGCTAGTCAGTGGTGAGAGGTTAATATCAAGAGAGGAATCTTTCAAGGAGATTCACTATCACCACTACTGTTTGCGTTGCATTGATTCCTCTGTCAACAATCCTGAACAAGTCAGGCCATGGCTATCAAACATCAAAAACATCTGACAGGCTATCCCACCTCCTTTACATGGATGATCTGAAGCTGTATGGAGAAACACCATCTGAAATAGAATCGTTGCTCAACATGTCCAAATATACAGCCAAGATATTGCAATGGAATTTAAACTGGACAAAAGTGCCGCCCTTACCATCAACAAGGGAAAAATAGTGAAAACTGAAGGAATCAAGATGCTGTATGGAAATAATATCAAGGTTCTGGATGAAGAAGATCACTACAAATACCTGGGCATCCTTCAAGCTGATAACACTAAGCACACTGAGGTCAAGAAGAAGGTTACGATAGTGAAGAACTTAAAATCCAACGCAGTGGAGGAAGTATCAAGGCAATTAACACCTGAGCAATTCCAGTCATTAG